AAAGTTCTGGTCAATAAGATCTGACATTGCAAATGTCCAAACTTTCTATTCCGAAAACTAAGAGAAAGACCAGAGAAACTTCACTTCCTATTTAAATATATAACTGAAATATGTAATATACAGAAAGTATACATCAAATATTCATCGGCCTTAGGTTGAATTTTATATGCTTTTATAATTCCCAAATGGTTCATGTCGCTGAAAATTATGAATATAACAATAATAATATTCAGGTTAAATTGCTACGAAAGAAGAAGAAACTTCCATAACTAGAACTTTAATATATCTGAAACTCTATTATTTTAATTGATGTGCTTTTGTAATTCCCAAACGGTTCATGAACTGAGTGCCTAGAAAACAAATTATGAAATTAAGAAATCAATTTAGTATTCTCTGATCTTTTGTTATCCAACCAAGAATTGAGAACAATTTGGATATTTAGAGTTTGCTAAAAAGAACTTTTTAAAACACCCATTGCTTTTGTTTGGTTTATTTTTATAGCTTTCGCCTCTTTAAAGTTGTTCAAGGCATCGTGTAGAATGCGGTTAATTGAGAGTTATTGAATAATTGAGCCGCTGTCTTTAATTTCCATGACAAATACATTTGTTTGCTTTCATAGTTTTCTTTTACTTTCCCATATTTCGCCATCTAATTGTTTATGCTATCAATTCAGAACTTCTCTCCCATTTCAATTCTTGTTTAATCAATCGATCAACCGCTTTTTATTACTTCAGATGGACGCGTGGAGGTCTCACGCGAGGGCAAATATCTTTCGACGCTCTCCGGCGCCAAGGTATTGGGCGAGCTGGCCATTTTGTACAATTGCCAGAGGACGGCGACAATTACCGCGATCACCGAGTGCAATCTGTGGGCGATCGAGCGTCAATGCTTCCAGACGATCATGATGCGCACGGGCCTCATCCGCCAGGCGGAGTACACGGATTTCCTCAAGAGGTATGTACGCAGATTAAACTGCCCATAGATAAGGTGTTTTTTTTTTTTTTATGATTTCTTTGGCTGCAATTTCGAACAATTTTGTTGAGCATTTTTAATGAATCGCTGCGATTTGCTGCCGCATGCAATTAACGTGCATTTGCACTTAATTATATCAATTCCGCCATGTCGTACTATTTTTTTTTTTTATATTTGGCCATTACAAGTAAGTGGTAAAAAAAAAATAACGCTTGGCTTAAGGATTTTTTTTTTTTGTGTGTCTGTGCTTGGTTGTTGTTTTTTGTTTTTGCGCAACTTTCTCTTCATCAAATGGGCAAACAGCATCAGACGACTTCGCTGTCGTCGTCATGGTCATGGGCGTCTCATATACGTCTATTACGATGACGTGCACTGCTCAAAATGGTCAGACAGTGGGGCAGACGGGCCGGCGGGCGGGCGGGCGGTCCTGAGGAACGGACGGACAACAACTGCGATCGTGCGGCCAACGAACGCATAGAAATTTTTTCTTTTCTTTGCCATCAAATGCACAAGTTGGCAACCAGTTTAAGGCCACAGCGCACCACCGACCGCACCACCGATCGCACCACCGATCGCACCACCGACCGCAAACGCCGTTCCACACTGATCTCTGCCAGAGCTGGCGCCGTGAGTGACCGACAAATTAATCTCATTTTGCAGGGTAGACAGCCGGCGCCTTCAAAAACTGTTTCCCCCTCCCCCCACCCCTGTTTTCACCTTATGATATGACTGTCATTAAAAGAGCTCCATTCGAAATTTTGAAGCATGAAATTGCGCAAAAATGAAAATAAAGAAAAAACCCCAAATGCATTACACCAAATGAAAATGAAAGTGCATTTCAGTGGAGGGCGTGTATTTAGATTGAGATTGTGGCGAAGATGGAGATTAAGCTCACGAGCTAAGTTAGGAAAGTCACAAGTTTGCCCTGGGAAGGTAAAATCATCAAATTGATGAGTCCAGTTTTTATGAAACGCACCAAAAATTACACGAATATTGACGCGTACTTGTGGAATAATCCATGAACTGAAATAATAATAGCAATTAAACTCCAAGTATGCGAAACTCAAAACCAATGTGATATATATTTTCTTTGTTCCTGGTTAATTAAACACGTATTCAATGGCAAATTTTTCTAACTCCCTTGGGAATTATCTGGCCTTTCTAACTTTTGTAATAGATATTTTCTCGCCTAGCTCAATGGGTTGAAATATTTCATTTCAATTCCATTTACCGAAAGACAGAGTAGAAGAGTAGTCTTCCGAATATGTAAGGAGCTAGGTATAAATTATATATCCACAAATATATATACTTTATGAGGTCGGAGATGTCTTGTTTTATACGTTACAAGTTCCATGACAAAATTGTAATACCCTCTACGAGGCTATTAAGAATAACTATTACTCCAATACAATGCCACAACTCACCTGGATCCTTTGTTTGCCCTATATTTGCAGCGTGCCCATTTTCAAGGATTTGCCAGAGGATACCCTGATCAAAATCTCCGATGTGCTTGAGGAGACGCACTATCAGCGAGGTGATTACATTGTGCGCCAGGGGGCACGCGGTGATACCTTCTTCATCATCTCCAAGGGCAAGGTGCGTGTGACTATCAAGCAGCCGGATACACAGGAGGAGAAATTCATACGCATGCTGGGCAAGGGTGATTTCTTTGGAGAGAAGGCGCTTCAAGGGTAAGTGAAGGAAATGAAACCTGGGATAACTTCTTGCATTGATAAACTCCTTACTTTCCAGGGATGATCTACGCACGGCCAACATCATTTGTGAGTCTCCCGAAGGCGTGAGCTGTTTGGTCATTGATCGTGAGACGTTCAATCAGCTGATATCAAGTCTGGACGAGATCAAGCATCGCTATGACGACGAGGGTGCCATGGAGCGTAGAAAGTAAGCTTTTCCTGGGAATCAAACTCTTGCAGATCTTTAGCCCAACCTCTCTATTTGCTGTTTTCCGTCAGGATCAACGAGGAGTTCCGCGACATTAACCTCACAGATCTGCGTGTGATTGCCACATTGGGTGTGGGCGGCTTTGGGCGCGTGGAACTAGTGCAAACCAATGGCGACAGCTCGCGCTCCTTCGCCCTCAAGCAGATGAAGAAGTCACAGATTGTGGAGACGCGCCAGCAGCAGCACATCATGTCCGAGAAGGAGATCATGGGCGAGGCCAATTGCCAGTTCATTGTTAAGCTGTTCAAGACCTTCAAGGACAAAAAATATCTGTACATGCTGATGGAGAGCTGCCTGGGCGGTGAGCTCTGGACCATATTGCGCGACAAGGGCAACTTTGACGATGCCACCACTAGATTCTACACGGCCTGCGTGGTGGAGGCCTTTGACTATTTGCACTCGCGCAACATTATCTACAGGGATCTGAAGCCGGAGAATCTGCTGCTCGACGAGAAGGGCTACGTGAAACTGGTGGACTTTGGCTTTGCCAAGAAACTGCAAACGGGCCGTAAAACGTGGACTTTCTGTGGCACGCCCGAGTATGTGGCGCCCGAGGTGATATTGAATCGTGGCCATGACATAAGCGCCGATTACTGGTCGCTCGGCGTGCTCATGTTTGAGCTGCTCACGGGTGAGTCGAGAGGGAGAGGAAGAGGAGGAGAGATCTATAGAGGCTTATATTATATCTTAATTTATTATAGGAACTCCACCTTTTACGGGCTCGGATCCGATGCGCACTTATAATATAATACTTAAGGGCATTGATGCCATCGAATTTCCGCGTAACATAACACGCAATGCCAGCAATTTGATCAAGAAACTGTGTCGCGATAATCCCGCCGAGCGTTTGGGCTATCAACGCGGCGGCATTAGCGAAATACAGAAGCATAAGTGAGTAGATTATCTGTGAGATCAAACCCTCCGTCGTCAGTCAGGCATTAATTCCACGCTTACTTTATATTTTAGATGGTTCGATGGCTTCTATTGGTGGGGTCTGCAGAATCGTTCACTGGAACCGCCCATAAAGCCCAACGTGAAGAGCGTTGTGGACACGACCAATTTTGATGACTATCCGCCCGATCCGGAGGGACCACCACCAGATGATGTCAGCGGCTGGGACAAGGATTTCTAGTGTAGAATTGACGTATGGGAATTTTTTGACGCTGCTCTCTAGCGACTTTTGTCGCGCAGCTGCTGCAACTTGTGACAGATAATGATAATCGATCTAATGGATCTTAACTAGTGCGCCATTTGTACGCCAAAGCAATAGTCAGGGTCAGACTTTAGGACGAAAGCTGATCCCCCAAGTAGCAGTCGCAACGCCTAGGGTCCTCATACAAATAGATCATGTCGTGCCCAGATAAGAAAAAAAAACAAACAAAACAACAACAAACAAACACACCCAGCCACACACCCGCACACACACCCATGAAAACGGCTCAAGCATGTCTCAGAGATCTGATTATCATCATAAAACATTGTGCAACACTATGAATTTATTAACGAGTTTATAAACTATTATTATGTAAAGATTGTGAAATCTATATTTTCTAGTTCATTGGATGTCGATAGAAATTGTAAGTAGGTTCCTGTGTCCTGGCATTCATCTGTTCCGGCCATGTGCATTGTGTAAATTGTTTTCTCTCTCTCTATCTATATAAAATTAAAATTATAATTGTTAAATGTACCAAGTGCAAACACACACACACACACATACACACACATATACATATACATACAAATCGGGTTGCCTTATAGCCTGTAAGCAGATTTTATACAATTATATGACCAAGACCCTCATGCTCATAACATATTTCTTGTTCTTCTTCATTTATCTATCATTTTAATGTTTCTGAACAATCGTGGATCTACATGCGAATTATTCTTCCAATCATTAGCCTTAAACATCATCATATTCTATATATAAATGAGCTAAATAACGCCTTTTTCAATTCTCTTTTTTAAGTAAACTGAGCTAGAAATTAAATAAATAACAAATTTATGCGCCTTAACTAAATGGAATTTAATTACTTTGTTGAAAAATGGAAATGCAAAATGTAAGAATCATGAATATCTGGTTACAAATAATTATTGGTTTGGTCTAGACTACAAGAAAATAATATAGCTCCATACATAAAACAGTTTTTTCTGGTTAACTGACTGACTGACAAACCATAAAATATACGAAGCTGAAATTGAGACTGTAATTATCCTTTGTGGTAAAGGAGAAAGGGTACGAAATTTTGTCACTCTACAGTTTCAAATTAATCAGATATTTGTGAATGTATGTATGTGCTTGTACATGTGTGTATGTATGTATGTATGTATGTATACATGTGTATGTATGTATACATGTGTATGTATGTATGCATGCATGTATGTGTAGATATGTAGATGTATGTATGTTTGTATGTTTGTATGTATGTAGGTGTTTATGTATGTATATATGTATGTATGTGTGTGTATGTATATGTGTGTATGTATGAGTGTGTATGTATGTGTATGTATGTATGAGTGTGTATGTATGTGTGTGTATGTATGTGTGTGTATGTGTGTCTGTATGTGGGTGTTTATGTATGTATATATGTATGTATGTATGTGTGTGTATGTATGTGTGTATGTATGTATGTACGCGTTAAGTGTGTTCGTACGTGCTTATGTATGTATGTATGTATGTATGTGTGCATCTATGTGTATGTTTGTATGTATGTACATAACCAAAGTTGTTTGTTTGTATGCATGTGTGTATTAACGCGGGCTTATGAAGATGTGCGTACGTTTATTTGTATTATGAATGTTAATATGTATGTGTGCATGTAATTATGTTTGTAGGAATGTCTGTATGTATATAAAAATATATGTATGTTTTCATGTTTGTATGCATGTGTGTATGCATGCTTATATGTAAATATTTGTATGCATTATGTATGTTAATGAATGTATGCATACATTTTGTATGTTTGTATTCCAGACCTAGCTGCACTGCAAATTAAAAAAAAACGTATTCTAAGTAGGTCCCCTCTACTCGATTCTCATAAACTCAAGTAAGCCTCATAGGCTATAGTAGAGGCGGCGACTTTAACTATGCAGGAGGAGGCGGCTTCAACTATGCAGGAGGCGGCGACTTCAACTATGCAGGAGGAGGCGGCTTCAAATATGCAGGAGGAAGCGGCTTGAACTGTGCAGGAGACGGTGATTTCAACTATGCAGGAGGATGCGGCTTCAACTGTGCAGGAGACGGTGATTTCAACTATGCAGGAGGATGCTGCTTCAACTATGCAGGAGGAGGCGGCTTCAACTATGCAGGAGGCGGCGACTTCAACTATGCAGGAGGAGGCGGCTTGAACTGTGCAGGAGACGGTGATTTCAACTATGCAGGAGGATGCGGCTTCAACTATGCAGGAGGAGGCGGCGACTTCAACTATGCTGGAGGAAGCGGCTTGAACTATGCAGGAGGAAGCGGCTTGAACTGTGCAGGAGACGGTGATTTCAACTATGCAGGAGGATGCGGCTTGAACTGTGCAGGAGACGGTGATTTCAACTATGCAGGAGACGGTGATTTCTATAGAGGAGACGGGAACTTCAGCGATGGAGGATGCGGCGACTTTAATATTGAAGGAAACGGCGGCTTTAAATATAGAGGATACTGCAACTTCAACAAAAGAGGAGACGCGAGCTTAAGTATTTAAGGAGACGTTGGCTCCATATATAGGATGGCGGCTTTAATGGAGGAGGCGGCTGCTCTAACTATAGAGGATACGGAGGGTTCAGCAATAGAGGAGGCGGCAACTGTAATATTAGTGGAGGTGACGGCTGCAACTATGAATTAGCTGGCAGCATAAGAAAAGGCGAAGACGGTGGTCTAAGAAGAAAGCTATGGCTTTGGCGGAGGAGGCGGCATTAATGTTAAATGTGGCGATTCAAAAAAGTGGTAAGTTATGTTAACAAATATATGTATAATGACTATGTCTTATTATATTTAAAACTAATACAGTCGTATGCATGCAGGTTATTTTATACATTGTCCCATTAACATAATCTCTGCTTTTCTGTTCTTTCAGTGTGTTTATAAGAAATGTCCTCCTTTGCCTACTGATAGATGAGGGTAATACAATGGAGCAGGTAAGTACGTAATTAAAAATATATTTTTATATCTATATATCTGTTTGATGGGTTATCAATGCATATTCCAAAAGCTAAGACTAGGCTGTGGAAAATTCCTTTTGCAATTAATTTAATATAAGCTTATATATAAATGGTAATTTCACAGGAGAAGATGTGGATTTTATGATGCTTTAAATTTTTTTAGATTGCAATAATATTGTTTTTAGATTTGATAATAATTGCCAGATTTAGACGCCAAAATGATCTAAAGGCCAAGCCATGAACAAAGAGCCAAACTTTATGAAAATAGGATGAGATTTGATCAAGTTATAGGGGTGGGAAATTCAGACGTATTTCTATGAGAGATATTTGAGGGATCCATTTGACATGAATTTTAATCAGAAATAATGTTGCCAGACAGAGGCCAAACTATAAACAAAAAGCCAACCCTTGTGAAAATCGGATGATTTTGACCGAGGTATGGGGGTGGGAAATATTGACCTATGTCCATGTAGGATATTTAAGGGTATCATTTTGACATGAATTTTAACCAAAAATGATGTTGCCAGATTTTAATGCAGAATTGATATAGAGGCCAAACCATGAACAAAAAGCCAAGCCTTTTTAAAATCGGCTGAGTTTTGACCGAGTTATGGGGGTGGGATATATTGACCTATGTCTATATAAGATATTTAAGGGTATCATTTTGACATGAAATTTTACCAAAAATGATGTTGCCAGATTTAAATGCAGAATTGATCCAGAGGCTAAACCATGAACAAAAAGCCAAACCTTTTGAAAATCGGTTGAGTTTTGACCGAGTTATGGGGGTGGGAAATATTGACCTATGTCTATATGGGATATTTAAGGGTATCATTTTAACATGAAATTTTACCAAAAATGATGTTGCCAGATTTGAATGCAGAATTGATCTAGAGGCCAAACCATGAACAAAAAGCCAAACCTTGTGAAAATCTGATGATTTTTGACCGAGTTATGGGGGTGGGAAATATTGACCTATGTCTATATAAGATATTTAAGGGTATCATTTTGACTTGAAATTTTACCAAAAATGATGTTGCCAGATTTAAATGCAGAATTGATCCAGAGGCCAAACCATGAACAAAAAGCCAAACCTTTTGAAAATCTGTTGAGTTTTGACCGAGTTATGGGGGTGGGAAATATTCACCTATGTCTATATAAGATATTTAAGGGTATCATTTTAACATGAATTTTTACCAAAAATGATGTTGCCAGATTTTGATGCAGAATTGATAATGAAGCCAAACCTTTTGAAAATCTGTTGAGTTTTGACCAAGTTATGGGGGTGGGAAATATTCACCTATGTCTATATAAGATATTTAAGGGTATCATTTTAACATGAATTTTTACCAAAAATGATGTTGCCAGATTTTGATGCAGAATTGATAATGAAGTCAAACCATGTGCAAAAAGCCAAACCTTGTGAAAATCGGATGATTTTTGACCGAGTTATGGGGGTGGGAATCATTGACCTATGTCTGTATAGGATATTTGAGGGTATCATTTTAACATGAAATTTTACCAAAAATGATGTTGCCAGATTTGAATGCAGAATTGATCTAGAGGCCAAACCATGAACAAAAAGCCAAACCTTGTGAAAATCTGATGATTTTGACCGAGTTATGGGGGTGGGAAATATTGACCTATGTCTATATAAGATATTTAAGGGTATCATTTTGACTTGAAATTTTACCAAAAATGATGTTGCCAGATTTAAATGCAGAATTGATCCAGAGGCCAAACCATGAACAAAAAGCCAAACCTTTTGAAAATCTGTTGAGTTTTGACCGAGTTATGGGGGTGGGAAATATTCACCTATGTCTATATAAGATATTTAAGGGTATCATTTTAACATGAATTTTTACCAAAAATGATGTTGCCAGATTTTGATGCAGAATTGATAATGAAGTCAAACCATGAACAAAAAGCCAAACCTTTTGAAAATCTGTTGAGTTTTGACCGAGTTATGGGGGTGGGAAATATTCACCTATGTCTATATAAGATATTTAAGGGTATCATTTTAACATGAATTTTTACCAAAAATGATGTTGCCAGATTTTGATGCAGAATTGATAATGAAGTCAAACCATGTGCAAAAAGCCAAACCTTGTGAAAATCGGATGATTTTTGACCGAGTTATGGGGGTGGGAATCATTGACCTATGTCTGTATAGGATATTTGAGGGTATCATTTTGACATGAAATTTTACCAAAAATGATGTTGCCAGATTTGAATGCAGAATTGATCTAGAGGCCAAACCATGAACAAAAAGCCAAACCTTGTGAAAATCTGATGATTTTTGACCGAGTTATGGGGGTGGGAAATATTGACCTATGTCTATATAAGATATTTAAGGGTATCAATTTGACTTGAAATTTTACCAAAAATGATGTTACCAGATTTAAATGCAGAATTGATCCAGAGGCCAAACCATGAACAAAAAGCCAAACCTTTTGAAAATCTGTTGAGTTTTGACCGAGTTATGGGGGTGGGAAATATTGACCTATGTCTATACAGGATATTTAGAGGTATCATTTAAACATGAATTTTTACCAAAAATGATGTTGCCAGATTTTGATGCAGAATTGATAATGAAGTCAAACCATGTGCAAAAAGCCAAACCTTGTGAAAATCGGATGATTTTTGACCGAGTTATGGGGGTGGGAATCATTGACCTATGTCTGTATAGGATATTTGAGGGTATCATTTTGACATGAAATTTTACCAAAAATGATGTTGCCAGATTTGAATGCAGAATTGATCTAGAGGCCAAACCATGAACAAAAAGCCAAACCTTGTGAAAATCTGATGATTTTTGACCGAGTTATGGGGGTGGGAAATATTGACCTATGTCTATATAAGATATTTAAGGGTATCAATTTGACTTGAAATTTTACCAAAAATGATGTTACCAGATTTAAATGCAGAATTGATCCAGAGGCCAAACCATGAACAAAAAGCCAAACCTTTTGAAAATCTGTTGAGTTTTGACCGAGTTATGGGGGTGGGAAATATTGACCTATGGCTATACAGGATATTTAGAGGTATCATTTAAACATGAATTTTTACCAGAAATGATGTTGCCAGATTTTGATGCAGAATTGATAATGAAGTCAAACCATGTACAAAATGCCAAACCTTTTGAAAATCGGTTGAGTTTTGACCGAGTTATGGGGGTGGGAATTATTGACCTATGTCTGCATAGGATATTTGAGGGTATCATTTTGACATGAATTTTTACCAAAAATGATGTTGCCAGATTTGAATGCAGAATTGATCTAGAGGCCAACCCATGAACAAAAAGCCAAGCCTTTTGAAAATCGGTTGAGTATTGACCGAGTTATGGGGGTGGGAAATATTGACCTATGTCTATATAGGATATTTAAAGGTATCATTTTAGCATGAAATTTTACCAAAAATGATGTTGCCAGATTTGAATGCAGAATTGATCTAGAGGCCAAACAATGAACAAAAAGCCAAACCTTGTGAAAATCGGATGATTTTTGACCGAGTTATGGGGGTGGGAAATATTGACCTATGTCTATATAAGATATTTAAGGGTATCATTTTGACTTGAAATTTTACCAAAAATGATGTTGCCAGATTTAAATGCAGAATTGATCCAGAGGCCAAACCATGAACAAAAAGCCAAACCTTTTGAAAATCTGTTGAGTTTTGACCGAGTTATGGGGGTGGGAAATATTCACCTATGTCTATATAAGATATTTAAGGGTATCATTTTAACATGAATTTTTACCAAAAATGATGTTGCCAGATTTTGATGCAGAATTGATAATGAAGTCAAACCATGTGCAAAAAGCCAAACCTTGTGAAAATCGGATGATTTTTGACCGAGTTATGGGGGTGGGAATCATTGACCTATGTCTGTATAGGATATTTGAGGGTATCATTTTGACATGAATTTTTACCAAAAATGATGTTGCCAGATTTGAATGCAGAATTGATCTAGAGGCCAACCCATGAACAAAAAGCCAAGCCTTTTGAAAATCGGTTGAGTATTGACCGAGTTATGGGGGTGGGAAATATTGACCTATGTCTATATAGGATATTTAAAGGTATCATTTTAGCATGAAATTTTACCAAAAATGATGTTGCCAGATTTGAATGCAGAATTGATCTAGAGGCCAAACAATGAACAAAAAGCCAAACCTTGTGAAAATCGGATGATTTTTGACCGAGTTATGGGGGTGGGAAATATTGACCTATGTCTATATAAGATATTTAAGGGTATCATTTTGACTTGAAATTTTACCAAAAATGATGTTGCCAGATTTAAATGCAGAATTGATCCAGAGGCCAAACCATGAACAAAAAGCCAAACCTTTTGAAAATCTGTTGAGTTTTGACCGAGTTATGGGGGTGGGAAATATTCACCTATGTCTATATAAGATATTTAAGGGTATCATTTTAACATGAATTTTTACCAAAAATGATGTTGCCAGATTTTGATGCAGAATTGATAATGAAGTCAAACCATGTGCAAAAAGCCAAACCTTGTGAAAATCGGATGATTTTTGACCGAGTTATGGGGGTGGGAATCATTGACCTATGTCTGTATAGGATATTTGAGGGTATCATTTTGACATGAAATTTTACCAAAAATGATGTTGCCAGATTTTGATGCAGAATTGATAATGAAGTCAAACCATGTGCAAAAAGCCAAACCTTGTGAAAATCGGATGATTTTTGACCGAGTTATGGGGGTGGGAAATATTGACCTATGTCTATATAAGATATTTAAGGGTATCATTTTGACTTGAAATTTTACCAAAAATGATGTTGCCAGATTTAAATGCAGAATTGATCCAGAGGCCAAACCATGAACAAAAAGCCAAACCTTTTGAAAATCTGTTGAGTTTTGACCGAGTTATGGGGGTGGGAAATATTGACCTATGTCTATACAGGATATTTAGAGGTATCATTTAAACATGAATTTTTACCAGAAATGATGTTGCCAGATTTTGATGCAGAATTGATAATGAAGTCAAACCATGTACAAAAAGCCAAACCTTTTGAAAATCGGTTGAGTTTTGACCGAGTTATGGGGGTGGGAATTATTGACCTATGTCTGCATAGGATATTTGAGGGTATCATTTTGACATGAATTTTTACCAAAAATGATGTTGCCAGATTTAAATGCAGAATTGATCCAGAGGCCAAACCATGAACAAAAAGCCAAGCCTTTTGAAAATCGGTTGAGTTTTGACCGAGTTATGGGGGTGGGAAATATTGACCTATGTTTATACAGGATATTTAGAGGTATCATTTTGACATGAAATTTTACCAAAAATTATGTTGCCAGATTTTGATGCAGAATTGATAATGAAGTCAAACCATGTACAAAAAGCCAAACCTTTTGAAAATCGGTTGAGTTTTGACCGAGTTATGGGGGTGGGATTTATTGACCTATGTCTATATGGGATACTTAAGGGTATCATTTTAACATGAATTTTTACCAAAATGATATATGTATGTTTTCATGTTTGTATGCATGTGTGTATGCATGCTTATATGTAAATATTTGTATGCATTATGTATGTTAATGAATGTATGCATACATTTTGTATGTTTGTATTCCAGACCTAGCTGCACTGCAAATTAAAAAAAAACGTATTCTAAGTAGGTCCCCTCTACTCGATTCTCATAAACTCAAGTAAGCCTCATAGGCTATAGTAGAGGAGGCGGCTTCAACTATGCAGGAGGAGGCGGCTTCAACTATGCAGGAGGAAGCGGCTTGAACTATGCAGGAGGAAGCGGCTTGAACTGTGCAGGAGACGGTGATTTCAACTATGCAGGAGGATGCGGCTTCAACTATGCAGGAGGAGGCGGCTTCAACTATGCAGGAGGAAACGGCTTGAACTATGCAGGAGGAAGCGGCTTGAACTGTGCAGGAGACGGTGATTTCAACTATGCAGGAGGATGCGGCTTCAACTATGCAGGAGGAGGCGGCTTCAACTATGCAGGAGGAAACGGCTTGAACTATGCAGGAGGAAGCGGCTTGAACTGTGCAGGAGACGGTGATTTCAACTATGCAGGAGGATGCGGCTTCAACTGTGCAGGAGACGGTGATTTCAACTATGCAGGAGGAAGCGGCTTGAACTGTGCAGGAGACGGTGATTTCAACTATGCAGGAGACGGTGATTTCTATAGAGGAGACGGGAACTTCAGCGATGGAGGATGCGGCGACTTTAATATTGAAGGAAACGGCGGCTTTAAATATAGAGGATACTGCAACTTCAACAAAAGAGGAGACGCGAGCTTAAGTATTTAAGGAGACGTTGGCTCCATATATAGGATGGCGGCTTTAATGGAGGAGGCGGCTGCTCTAACTATAGAGGATACGGAGGGTTCAGCAATAGAGGAGGCGGCAACTGTAATATTAGTGGAGGTGACGGCTGCAACTATGAATTAGCTGGCAGCATAAGAAAAGGCGAAGACGGTGGTCTAAGAAGAAAGCTATGGCTTTGGCGGAGGAGGCGGCATTAATGTTAAATGTGGCGATTCAAAAAAGTGGTAAGTTATGTTAACAAATATATGTATAATGACTATGTCTTATTATATTTAAAACTAATACAGTCGTATGCATGCAGGTTATTTTATACATTGTCCCATTAACATAATCTCTGCTTTTCTGTTCTTTCAGTGTGTTTATAAGAAATGTCCTCCTTTGCCTACTGATAGATGAGGGTAATACAATGGAGCAGGTAAGTACGTAATTAAAAATATATTTTTATATCTATATATCTGTTTGATGGGTTATCAATGCATATTCCAAAAGCTAAGACTAGGCTGTGGAAAATTCCTTTTGCAATTAATTTAATATAAGCTTATATATAAATGGTAATTTCACAGGAGAAGATGTGGATTTTATGATGCTTTAAATTTTTTTAGATTGCAATAATATTGTTTTTAGATTTGATAATAATTGCCAGATTTAGACGCCAAAATGATCTAAAGGCCAAGCCATGAACAAAGAGCCAAACTTTATGAAAATAGGATGAGATTTGATCAAGTTATAGGGGTGGGAAATTCAGACGTATTTCTATGAGAGATATTTGAGGGATCCATTTGACATGAATTTTAATCAGAAATAATGTTGCCAGACAGAGGCCAAACTATAAACAAAAAGCCAACCCTTGTGAAAATCGGATGATTTTGACCGAGGTATGGGGGTGGGAAATATTGACCTATGTCCATGTAGGATATTTAAGGGTATCATTTTGACATGAATTTTAACCAAAAATGATGTTGCCAGATTTTAATGCAGAATTGATATAGAGGCCAAACCATGAACAAAAAGCCAAGCCTTTTTAAAATCGGCTGAGTTTTGACCGAGTTATGGGGGTGGGATATATTGACCTATGTCTATATAAGATATTTAAGGGTATCATTTTGACATGAAATTTTACCAAAAATGATGTTGCCAGATTTAAATGCAGAATTGATCCAGAGGCTAAACCATGAACAAAAAGCCAAACCTTTTGAAAATCGGTTGAGTTTTGACCGAGTTATGGGGGTGGGAAATATTGACCTATGTCTATATGGGATATTTAAGGGTATCATTTTAACATGAAATTTTACCAAAAATGATGTTGCCAGATTTGAATGCAGAATTGATCTAGAGGCCAAACCATGAACAAAAAGCCAAACCTTGTGAAAATCTGATGATTTTTGACCGAGTTATGGGGGTGGGAAATATTGACCTATGTCTATATAAGATATTTAAGGGTATCATTTTGACTTGATATTTTACCAAAAATGATGTTGCCAGATTTAAATGCAGAATTGATCTAGAGGCCAAACCATGAACAAAAAGCCAAACCTTGTGAAAATCTGATGATTTTTGACCGAGTTATGGGGGTGGGAAATATTGACCTATGTCTATATAAGATATTTAAGGGTATCATTTTGACTTGAAATTTTACCAAAAATGATGTTGCCAGATTTAAATGCAGAATTGATCTAGAGGCCAAACCATGAACAAAAAGCCAAACCTTGTGAAAATCTGATGATTTTTGACCGAGTTATGGGGGTGGGAAATATTGACCTATGTCTATATAAGATATTTAAGGATATCATTTGTATGCATTATGTATGTTAATGAATGTATGCATACATTTTGTATGTTTGTATTCCAGACCTAGCTGCACTGCAAATTAAAAAAAAACGTATTCTAAGTAGGTCCCCTCTACTCGATTCTCATAAACTCAAGTAAGCCTCATAGGCTATAGTAGAGGAGGCGGCTTCAACTATGCAGGAGGAGGCGGCTTCAACTATGCAGGAGGCGGCGACTTTAACTATGCAGGAGGCGGCGACTTCAACTATGCTGGAGTAGGCGGCTTCAACTATGCAGGAGGAAGCGGCTTGAACTATGCAGGAGGAAGCGGCTTGAGCTGTGCAGGAGACGGTGATTTCAACTATGCAGGAGGATGCGGCTTCAACTATGCAGGAGGAGGCGGCTTCAACTATGCAGGAGGAAACGGCTTGAACTATGCAGGAGGAAGCGGCTTGAACTGTGCAGGAGACGGTGATTTCAACTATGCAGGAGGATGCGGCTTCAACTATGCAGGAGACGGTGATTTCTATAGGGGAGACGGGAACTTCAGCGATGGGGGATGCGGCGACTATAATATTGAAGGAAACGGCGGCTTTAAATATAGAGGATACTGCAACTTCAACAAAAGAGGAGACGCGAGCTTAAGTATTTAAGGAGACGTTGGCTCCATATATAGGATGGCGGCTTTAATGGAGGAGGCGGCTGCTCTAACTATAGAGGATACGGAGGGTTCAGCAATAGAGGAGGCGGCAACTGTAATATTAGTGGAGGTGACGGCTGCAACTATGAATTAGCTGGCAGCATAAGAAAAGGCGAAGACGGTGGTCTAAGAAGAAAGCTATGGCTTTGGCGGAGGAGGCGGCATTAATGTTAAATGTGGCGATTCAAAAAAGTGGTAAGTTATGTTAACAAATATATGTATAATGACTATGTCTTATTATATTTAAAACTAATACAGTCGTATGCATGCAGGTTATTTTATACATTGTCCCATTAACATAATCTCTGTTTTTCTGTTCTTTCAGTGTGTTTATAAGAAATGTCGTCCTTTGCCTACTGATAGATGAAGGTAATACAATGGAGCAGGTAAGTACGTAATTAAAAATATATTTTTATATCTATATATCTGTTTGATGGGTTATCAATGCATATTCCAAAAGCTAAGACTAGGCTGTGGAAAATTCCTTTTGCAATTAATTTAATATAAGCTTATATATAAATGGTAATTTCACAGGAGAAGATGTGGATTTTATGATGCTTTAAATTTTTTTAGATTGCAATAATATTGTTTTTAGATTTGATAATAATTGCCAGATTTAGACGCCAAAATGATCTAAAGGCCAAGCCATGAACAAAGAGCCAAACTTTATGAAAATAGGATGAGATTTGATCAAGTTATAGGGGTGGGAAATTCAGACGCATTTCTATGAGAGATATTTGAGCGTGCCATTTGACATGAATTTTAATCAGAAATAATGTTGCCAGACAGAGGCCAAACTATAAACAAAAAGCCAACCCTTGTGAAAATCGGATGATTTTGACCGAGGTATGGGGGTGGGAAATATTGACCTATGTCCATGTAGGATATTTAAGGGTATCATTTTGACATGAATTTTAACCAAAAATGATGTTGCCAGATTTTAATGCAGAATTGATATAGAGGCCAAACCATGAACAAAAAGCCAAGCCTTTTTAAAATCGGCTGAGTTTTGACCGAGTTATGGGGGTGGGATATATTGACCTATGTCTATATAAGATATTTAAGGGTATCATTTTGACATGAAATTTTACCAAAAATGATGTTGCCAGATTTAAATGCAGAATTGATCCAGAGGCTAAACCATGAACAAAAAGCCAAACCTTTTGAAAATCGGTTGAGTTTTGACCGAGTTATGGGGGTGGGAAATATTGACCTATGTCTATATGGGATATTTAAGGGTATCATTTTAACATGAAATTTTACCAAAAATGATGTTGCCAGATTTGAATGCAGAATTGATCTAGAGGCCAAACCATGAACAAAAAGCCAAACCTTGTGAAAATCTGATGATTTTTGACCGAGTTATGGGGGTGGGAAATATTGACCTATGTCTATATAAGATATTTAAGGGTATCATTTTGACTTGATATTTTACCAAAAATGATGTTGCCAGATTTAAATGCAGAATTGATCTAGAGGCCAAACCATGAACAAAAAGCCAAACCTTGTGAAAATCTGATGATTTTTGACCGAGTTATGGGGGTGGGAAATATTGACCTATGTCTATATAAGATATTTAAGGGTATCATTTTGACTTGAAATTTTACCAAAAATGATGTTGCCAGATTTAAATGCAGAATTGATCTAGAGGCCAAACCATGAACAAAAAGCCAAACCTTGTGAAAATCTGATGATTTTTGACCGAGTTATGGGGGTGGGAAATATTGACCTATGTCTATATAAGATATTTAAGGGTATCATTTTGACTTGATATTTTACCAAAAATGATGTTGCCAGATTTAAATGCAGAATTGATCTAGAGGCCAAACCATGAACAAAAAGCCAAACCTTGTGAAAATCTGATGATTTTTGACCGAGTTATGGGGGTGGGAAATATTGACCTATGTCTATATAAGATATTTAAGGGTATCATTTTGACTTGAAATTTTACCAAAAATGATGTTGCCAGATTTAAATGCAGAATTGATCTAGAGGCCAAACCATGAACAAAAAGCCAAACCTTGTGAAAATCGGATGATTTTTGACCGAGTTATGGGGGTGGGAAATATTGACCTATGTCTATATAAGATATTTAAGGGTATCATTTTGACATGAAATTTTACCAAAAATGATGTTGCCAGATTTGAATGCAGAATTGATCTAGAGGCCAAACCATGAACAAAAAGCCAAACCTTGTGAAAATCGGATGATTTTTGACCGAGTTATGGGGGTGGGAAATATTGACCTATGTCTATATAAGATATTTAAGGGTATCATTTTGACATGAAATTTTACCAAAAATGATGTTGCCAGATTTGAATGCAGAATTGATCTAGAGGTCAAACCATGAACACAAAGCCAAACCTTGTGAAAATCGGATGATTTTTGACCGAGTTATGGGGGTGGGAAATATTGACCTATGTCTATATAAGATATTTAAGGGTATCATTTTGACATGAAATTTTACCAAAAATGATGTTGCCAGATTTAAATGCAGAATTGATCCAGAGGCTAAACCATGAACAAAAAGCCAAACCTTTTGAAAATCGGTTGAGTTTTGACCGAGTTATGGGGGTGGGAAATATTGACCTATGTCTATATAAGATATTTAAGGGTATCATTTTAACATGAATTTTTACCAGAAATGATGTTGCCAGATTTTGATGCAGAATTGATAATGAAGTCAAACCATGTACAAAAAGCCAAACCTTTTGAAAATCGGTTGAGTTTTGACCGAGATATGGGGGTGGGAATTATTGACCTATGTCTGTATAGGATATTTGAGGGTATAATTTTGACATGAAATTTTACCAAAAATGATGTTGCCAGATTTGAATGCAGAATTGATCTAGAGGCCAACCCATGAACAAAAAGCCAAGCCTTTTGAAAATCGGTTGAGTTTTGACCTAGTTATGGGGGTGGGATATATTGACCTATGTCTATATAGGATATTTAAAGGTATCATTTTGACATGAATTTTTACCAAAAATGATGTTGCCAGATTTTGATGCAGAATTGATAATGAAGTCAAACCATGTACAAAAAGCCAAACATTTTGAAGATCGGTTGAGTTTTGACCGAGTTATGGGGATGGGATTTGTTGACCTATGTCTATATGGGATACTTAAGGGTATCATTTTAACATGAATTTTTACCAAAAGGATGTTGCCAGATTTGGATGCAGAATTGATAATGAAGTCAAACCATGTACAAAAAGCCAAACCTTTTGAAAATCGGTTGAGTTTTGACCGAGTTATGGGGGTGGGATATATTGACCTATGTCTATATGGGATAGTTAAGGGTATCATTTTAACATGAATTTTTACCAAAAATGATGTTGCCAGATTTGGATGCAGAATTGATAATGAGGTCAAACCATGAACACAAAGCCAAACCTTGTGAAAATCGGATGAGTTTTGTCTGAGTTAAGGGGGTGGAATATAGTGACCTATGTCTATATAGGATATTTAAGGGTACCATTTTCCCATAAATTTTGGATCAGGAATAATGTTGCCAGATTTAACTTTCAACTTTATGTAAGAAAATGTTTTGTTGATGCACATTCACTCAATTGGTTATTGGTAGAGCTTCTGGGGCACGTAAACCTCTCTGGGCTAAGCCCAACCAAAGTGTATGCTTCCTGCATTGGAGCACTCGAGACGCTTAGTGAATTGGCTAAAACTCACGTTTTAACTCAATGAGAATTAAATGCAATTCTTAAAAACTAAGTGAAGCTGAAAAAAAATGAAAGACAAATAGAATTCAAAACAAAACTTGGCTACGTGCGCAACGAGACTTAAGCAAAAATCCAAAAGCGGAGAAAGCTGAGAAAAATCAGTCAAGAGTTTCAGCACTCTACGGAGAACATTCTGCGGCGATAGTTTGGTTCGTACAGTCGGAGCAGAGAAACCAAACACAGAAAACTTAATAAAAATAAATAAACCTTTGAAAAATTCTTTTTGAGAAGTGAATTTCGCTGTGCCAGCAGAAAGAACGGAAATTGTGTTGAAATATATATATTTTTTTTAATGAACTAAGCTCAAAATCGTAACGAAAACTACTCAGAATGATGATGATAAGTTGGAGTGTGCTTCTGCTGCTCCTATTGCTGAATATAACACTAAACTTAGGCCTGCATCTGGAGAATCAGACGCGGGAGCACGTCAAGCAGCTGATCGGTGAGTTATAAAAGAAGCCTACTCTGAAGAACTGGAGCTCAAATGTATATATTTCCGATGCAGCCTGCAAACAGCCCAAGGCGCCGGGCCTGTGCCGTGGCAAACAGCTGCGCTATGCCTACAACAAGGAGACGGGCAACTGTGAGAGCTTCTATTATACGGGCTGCGCCTCCACGGATAACAATTTCCTGACCTACGAGGAGTGCCGACGCGACTGCATGCAGCGGGGACGTTACTAGAGTATAGACCTTAGTTAATTTCTATGTTTGTTTATATTAACAAAAATCAGTTTAACAAGTTAATTTAAACAAGAACTAAGACTTTTTGGCTTTTCTGGACCGGTGCGGCCTGGACTCCGGTTGGGTTCGGGTCAGAGCACGCCAGCTGGCGATCAGCAGCAGCAGCACCGCAAAGATCAAAGCCAAACTGTCCAGCGAGTGGTAAACGAACCAATTGAGCTCTATGCCTGGTGACTGAAGCAGCTCCGCGGCCAGCATGCCATGTCGCATCACGTGCTCCACGCTCCAAACGGCCGTCTCCAGCGGCGTGCGTTCGCGCTGATTAAACACCTGCGAGATCTTTAGGGCGCGTTCAGCATAGCTGTGGAAAGTTTGGGGTTGAGCTGGGATATCTCTGGAGAATAGTTGAATAAACGCACCTGGGCTTGGCCAGCTCCTGCAGCGACTGCTGCAGTGTTTCCACATTGATGTGCTCATAGTCCAGCTTGAGTCCCACGCCGCGATCCTGTGCCGCATGCGCATTTAAAAACTGATCACCGTAGATGGGCGTCATGAGCAGCGGCTTGCCGCAGTGCAGCGCCTCGGTGAGGCCCAGCAGGCCGGCGTGCGCCCAAAACAGACGCACTTGGGGTTGACCTATGGGCAGAACATGAATCAGTTTCGCTCTTCGGAATGCTCGAACCTTACTTACAGAGCAAAGCTAGCTGAGGTGCCCATTTGACAAACAGAAACTTGCTGGCGTCCAGTTGGGGCTTGGGCTGCTCGGTCGCCTCCCATTTCCAAATCACATTCAAAGGCTGCTTCAGCAGCACATCGATAATGGCATCCAGCTTTTCGGCATCAATGCTGGAAGCGCGCACCATGGAGCCCCAGCTGATGAAAACGACGCCCTGCTTGGACTGCTCCAGGAACAGGGCAATCCTCGAGCTCAGCTGCTGCTCATCCTTGCGGGTAATGTGCACGCCACCCACCTCTAGAAACTGTCGGCTATGCGGGCGGCTGCCCAAATGCGAGTAGTGCTGATTGCCCAACACGAAAGCCGTCTGGGCACGTGCCACGGCATCCACATCCACATCAATTTGGAGATGGCGCTTGATCAGTGCATTGTCCGCGCGATTCGTGTGCAGCCTGTAGATCAGCTTCAGCAGCTTGGCCTGGGCAAAGTTCAGCAGGCGCTCCCGAAAGTTCAAAGGTCGCGTGAAACCCACAAACTCAGACTGCACATAGGAGGGCGTATCCGGCAGATCGATGCGATCGTAATAGTAGGGCATCAGGGCACAGGTGCTCAGTCCAATGATGGGCAGCTGCAGCAGCTTGGCAATACCCAGCTGGCAGTCCGTGCTGAAGTACTCGGTGAGCAGGACATCGTAGGGCCTCTGCTGGTGACGCCGCAGCACAGTCTCCACATGGCCACTCTCGTACAGCCGCTCGCAGGATATCTGTCCATTGGTGTACAGCTCATAGTACTCCTCCAGCAGCACTTTCAAGGAACGCGTGGGCGTGTGCTCCGACAGCGGCACCACATTGATGGTCGTATTCGACTGATCCTCGGTCGCATCGGAGATCAGCAGTTGCTCGTAGTTGGGCAGCTGCGCTGCCTGCGGATTCCGCACATACGAAATGACGGTCAAGTGGTGACCCCGTTGCGCCAGTTCACTTAATATCGGTAGCGCCACCTTGAAGTGACTGTAGCCAAAGTGCGGGAACACGGCGAGCACATTGCCACCCTCGACACCTCCATTAGCGCCACTTAACACCGCCAGACAGAAGCCAATTAACGCCAATCGTTCGCTCCGCGTCGATGTCGTCGTCATCGCTGCGCTGCGCTCGAATGAATGCGGCGAAGTTCATGAATGCCATGATTACCTAACTGCCTCGCTTGATAAGCGTGTGTTGATATGGGTTACTTCTATAGCTATTTTTGTTATTGTGGTTTATCAATGTTTTTGTGGTTCAGTTTGTGGTGTGCTCTAATTGCAATTGCACTTGCTGTCAATTGCATGTTTGCGTCTGATGGCAACCCTGGTCCATTTATCGATCCTATATTTAAAAGCATTGCATACTCTTAGGTGCTGCTGCTAATGCGCCTTAGCAGACACACATTTGCTTAAAATATTACATACTGTAAGGCTGGGCAATTGTTGTAGGGCATACTTTCGAGCGCATACGCAAATTGTACTGAGCGCATTTAATTGCCGTGAAATGTAGATGGCGCCAGCAAAGCCGTTGGTATTTCAAATATTTGTGCATATATTCATATATTTAAATAAGCAAGTGGGTTTTCACTTTTAATCTACTATAACTTCATTAAGTGTTGGATAATAATTTGGGATTATTAAAGAAAGGATTTACCAACATTGGATTTATAGCGCAAGTAGAAGGAATTGGTCAAAATGGAGTTTTTTAGCAACTCATGAATACCTGTTTTGTTTCCATAAAAAAAAAAAAAATAGTAACATACAAATAAGTAATCGAATCGAATCAAACCGAAAACAAGTTTTCAAATATGATTTCTTTAATATATTTTACTATTACTATTTGTAAGCTTCTCTTAATAATACTAATCTTTGAAAGGTGACAAAATTATAAAAGCATATCCAATTTAGTTGATATACGAATCAGTCACAAGTTAAATACATTTTGCCGTCTATGTGCTGCTCAAATTATGGCAGAGCACTCAACGAAGGGAAAGCCTTAAGATATTGAATGCACAATTGAATTGGAAAACGCCCCGAAAACAATAGATAATGGACAGTAGGAAGCGTTAATTGGAACCGCAAGCGATGAGACGAAGAGCCGATGATAATAATTGTAATTGGCAGACAAAATGCAATTCCACTTGCATCTACAGCTGCAGCTGCAACGGACAAGTGCAACGGGGCAGCAGGGGAACAGGGCTGGCCACAAGATTAGGGACTGCAATGTAAAGTGCACTGGCAGAGGGAATCCCATTCGGAATGACAGCTCTTTAGGCGCCTGCAATTGTGTATGATGATGATGGGGGAGGTTGTGAGTGTGCCTGTGTGTGTGTGTGTGCGACTGTGATTGTGGGCGTTGCAACGACCCACTTCCCAGGGCGACACAACGAGTGCTCCGATTGGGCCACATTTCTCGATAAGAGCCCAAAAACACCAAACGTTAACAATGCTCGTAAGTGTTTTTTACGATAAACCAGAAGAAGCAGGCGACAACGCGGAGCAGGCAAAGAAAACAATATTTGAGCAAACAGAGCAATTAAATGTGAACTGGGCTCTGGGCCGGAGTGCTCGCCGGCGATAAGTGGATGCCCATGGGAAACATTATACGGCATACTGCCTGACGCTAGCTGGCTCTCGGTAGTTCCAATGACGCCCCCTATAAACACACTCACAGATTGGCCCCGATATCACCGTCACCAAAAAACAAACCACATACATGATGTGGCAACGATTTGGTATTTGAAATCTGTGTGTTTTATGCCCCACTGTATTTGCTTAACATCTGGAATTGTTGAAAGCAAATATCGAAACTGTGCTCAAAACTATGCAGAGGGCATGGGGCATTCCCGATTTCTATTCAGTGTTCAAGCTACCAATATTCGTATGAAGCAGTAGTTTCTGAGATTTTAAAGGATTTATTGTAAACTTCAGAGAAGAATTTGTTCCAGTTGATTCTCAGACGGCTTCAGTACCCCCTTTAAAGCTGTACCCAAAAATCCAATCATGATCAAAAACAGAAGAAAACATCCTTCCAAATCGAATCGAATTCGGAACGCGTCTCATTATAATAGGGAATAGTTTTATACTTTTGAATTGTAGAACTTAAAACTATTTCGATTGAGCTGGTTGATAACATTTCCTGAATGAAATAAGCCCGCAATGAAATAAATCAATATATACATTTAAAGCTAGAGATAAATCAATATCTCTTGCAATTTAAAAGTTTTTTTTTAAGAAAATTCCTAAAGAGTTTTTAGACACAGCCACTTGTCAAATCGCAATTGATAGGCTGGAGGGAAACCTATTAGCCTATTGTTCTATATAACTCTCCATAGCTAATATAGTCATATATGATATAGTCATTGTATGATGTAAGCTCTGTAGAATTACGTATTATAGTTTTCATTTTTTCAGTTTGCGAACCTTTTGCACTCAACGTTGTTTTAAGCTTTTTAGTTATGTAGAAATTATTTTTTTTTTTTTGCCAACACTCTGAATTTCGAGTGGTACTAGAGAGGTCTCTCGTCTGTGTAGGGGCCCACGTTATCGGCTCGAAAAGTGGCAGCTGACGTCAGTGTTTTGCCTAAGTGATATTGAATTGTTTCTATAAGCTCAGTTTCAAATAGTTTTTAGCTTCATTTCAGCCACATTTCAAATTTCTGACATCAGAAATCGATTTCTCAACTGGCGGCTGGCGTCAGTGTTTTATGAGGGGGGCAGTTGTCGGCACTCTCGTGCAATCTAATATGCCCGAAATGAATATTTCTGTGTGATTTTATTATTATTGACAGATTTCCCAGCTCGCAACACCAGCCGAATGCTTTATGCCAGAGATTGCGCCCATTCCCGTCTGTCTCTGACGTCATGGACAGACAGTTTGTGGATTTTTATGGGACGCCCGTTTGATGGGCCGCAGCTAGCCAGATTTTTGTGGGCTTTGTCCAATTAATGGGCCTCGCTGCAGGACTTAATTAGAGCGCTGTTTGTGCAGATTTCGACATTTTGCTGTTATGATCCAATTTGGTGCGTTTAAGGACACATTTGTTTGCTCATTTGTCTGGCTGTTTGCTCGATTGTCGCCTGGCAGCTCCAAACGCCCAGACACATCGATGGTCAGGATTAGCAGGGCCCATAAAGGACAACATGTGTGCGCAGCAGGCAGGACCGGCCAGCGGTCCAGTCAAATAGCTGCCCAGCTGTACAGCTGCAGCAACAAGCAGAGGGGGGGGCAGCCCTGATCTAATTAACGTCTGGACAAAGCCAAACAAGGCGGAGATTAGGTGCCGCATACGCATCCGCATCCGCATCTGGATCTCCCGTCGCTATCGATACTCGTGCCGCCGGACAATGACGGGTAGCCGTTGGCCGATTGCCGGTTGCCAGTTGCTGAGTGCCGAGTGTCAAAAGATAACTGCAACTGCACGATTCTCGAGTGGATTGGCTGCAGTTCAACAAACAGTTGGAGCTGCAGTTTCCTGCATTGGCCACTCCACAGCCAATTCTGGAGAGCTACACACGCTACTTGAATTGAATCCGCACTGGTGTCTGGTGCCAGGTGCAATTGCCCATCGAGAGGCCGCCAGTTAAAGACAATGTGTTCCTCTCGAAACCCACTTCGAGCACTTCGGTTGCCACAGTTGCAGGCGGGTTCGATCTATTTGGCACTAAAGTAGATGCACCCTATGCTGATAGCTTATCAAGCTTTTGGCATGCAGACACACAACCCATTCACATTGTTGGAGTGGAACGACGGCAATAACATGTAACTTGTCCATCTAATATCAGAGCTCAACTCGAACTTGAATACCTAATGCGGTCTAAAGATAGCGCCTTGTGTCCAACAAGCGTCAACTGACTGTTCGATACTCTGTTCAGATAATTCAGACAACATTATGCAGTTCCGCCGAGGTGAGGGGCATGTAAGCTAAATATGTGTTCACTTAAATTGCATTGCTATAACAAACAATATACCCACTCTCCCGTTGGGAACAGAGTGTACTTATTTATAGCAATTGCCAACGAAACAGTTTGTTGTCTAGCGATACTTGTTGTACAGGAACTTATGGATTAACAATTGATTGATAAGAACATCAGAACTGAAAGTTAAAATAGTGATAAATCCGAACCGAGATTTTATAAACTATTACAAGAGATCAAGGGCTTATTTTACTTTCATTAATAGTGATATGAAAGTGTCAGGGATTGTATGTACTTATATAAATATGTATCAATGTATGTATAAAAAATGTTTGTATATTCTCTGCTAAATATTTTGCTACATTTTGCCCTTCTATGCGATTCTCATAAACTCAACATAGACGTTTACGTTGCCATCTTTCTCCCTCTCTCTCTCTCCCTCGTTTTCTCACTCTGCCTATTGCTATTTCTTTCTGCCTCTTTGTCTCCCTCATTTATCTCTTTATCTATCTCTTACACTCTTTCTCTGCATTTATTCTCTCTCCTTCGGGCTCCTGAACTGGGGTATTCTCTCAGAGAAATGCACATACTTGGCAAAACCAAAATATTTTTAATTCAAGTCCAAGTTACTTTCAATTGCATTAATACTACAGTTGAGAATCTTATCAAATACTCATTTCTAAAAAAGGTCAATTATTTTGATCAGAAGTATGGCATTAGTGTGGCAAAAAGAAGTTGGTGCTTCTCATTGACACTCAGCTTGAGAGCAGGTGTTTTTTCGGTAAGCTTGGTGCTCCAGAGTGCTCCCTGGATTTGTGTGCCTCCATCGGAAGGTCAACTGCACCTTTAACCGGGCGTTTAAGTGCCAGGAAGTTGATTCGTGCGTCTACAGTTCCAGAGAATCGACAATGGGTCAACAGTTTGTGTTTTGTTTGTTCGCGAGTTGATTCTGCTTTAGAGGCGCGTGTCGCATCGCTGGCCGGAGGACGCTCGTCCCGAGCTGTAGGCGCAATGTAAACAGGAACTGGGCAAGGGAGATGCGGGCACGCGCAGAGACAAGCCAAAATCTGAAAAGACAAAACTTGAGGCATGTTTTACACGTGAATTGCGATGACAAAAAGACGCCGGCCGAGGCCAATAAACGGGAATGGGAATGGGATTGGGAATGGTAATGGGCATGGGAATGGGCGGAGGCATGGTCGGAGTGAAGGTGAAGCGCATAAAAATTGGCATAAACAGCCACGGCCAAGAAGAAGTCGTCTTCAGGGTTCTCGTTTGTATCTTTGCAGCACTCAGCCGCCGGCTCGGTTCGCTGGATTGTGTCCTTCCTCCACGCGACGCGCTTTATGGCCGCTGCGGATTCGTGGAAAACATTCAATTGATACGAAATTGCTGCAATATAAATGCAGTGCTGCCGATCGAGCTGGAGTCGGAGCGTGGAAGAAGGTGGCAAGGCAGCGGGGTCAGGTATTCGGCACATAAATGCGGCAATAAAACGATTCTCTCGCCGATCTTCACTTTGCATTGTGAGTGGCTGGACAGAAGAAAAAAAATGGCAGCCAGGAACACGCGTGTTACCAACTCTCTCGAGCTCTCGCTCTCCGAAAGTGTGCAGCAGCAGAGGTAGGCACAATTTGTTTACAGCATTGTTATTGAGACAAAGTCACTGATTTTCAAGCAAAAGCCAGTGCGTGCCCTCGCTCTCTCTCTCTCTGTCTCTGTCTGTCTCAGCTCTCTGGTGCAAAGGCATCGCTCATCGCGCACAATGATGTTGCAATTATTGAACCTTCTGTATTTTCAAATTTCCATCATTAATAACACAGGCGGAGACCAAGGTGAAGGCAAAACAGCAACAGCAACAGCAACATCAAGTTCCTTGGCAGAAGGCGGCAAAGGAGGACGCTGTGACCATTAGCGAGTTTCGGCGGAATACGCGTGAATTCGTTTTGTCTAACAATGCGACGACTCACTGAGCGCATCAATTGATGGAAAAATGGAATTTTCGGAATGCCAAAACGCCGCAGGTAAACATTGCTCCAGCCCGCTGCATTCGGGCAATGCCGCACAGCCGCAGCCTCAGCCTCAGCCAGAGATTCTGGCGCGGCACAAGGTACGCGCAGCCATTAACGGTCGCAGCGAGGAGCCGGCAAGCGCATAAAGATCAGCTATAATTATTCATCTTGGGTGGGGGGCACGGTCCAAGGCAATGCTCTGGTACTCGCCTTGGGACCGCTTACTGTGTTTGTCAACGCAGATGCTAATCACAACATTAGGCCCGTGCAGATTCCACTTCAGATATCGTTTCGACAGTGTGCATCCCTGTGTGTGTGTGTGTGTGTGTGTGTGTTTTGCAGATTCGTTGCGCTCGCCTGGCAAAAACCCAGCATTTCTGGCTGCTTGGGCTAACCTCGCGCCCCCTCTGGCGTATCCGTAGCTCAAGGATAGTCGTAATTGCAATTGGATATGTATGGGCTGTACTTGAGGGACGCTCCTTGGCCAATGCATTGGTTTACGCTGCTATGAAGTTGTCCAGCTATTTGCCAAATAGATAATTATTTGTATCTATTTAGCAGCAGGATCGATCCCAACGACATCCGGCAGCGTTCTCGAAGGTGACGAACGTCAAATGTTGGGTTAACCAAGAAACGTAGCTCGATTAGTTGCACATTAAAGAAATCGTGCGATTAGTGAAGACATTTGATGGCAACAACTTGGGGAAATTCTCGGAAAAAACTGGCTTAAACATGTGGATGTGGATTTAATATTAGAAGAATGCTGCGTGAAAAATACTTTTTGGCATGTGGTTGGAAAATTGTGTGAATATACTCTTCAAGATTGAAACTTATTTTCAATGTATATATAATTTAATTTAAGCTGCTATTTATAAGGTGGGCAAGAATAAAAATCGTTATATATGCCAGGTAGTATATAAATATACAATTTATTTATTATTTTTGTGAACATTTTTGGGTTCTTGCAATTTGCCTTTATACATGTTAAATCACTGCTCCTCGAAAGCCACAACCACCATATAGAAACATCTTGCACTGTTGTTCTTCAGCATCTTGCTCGTAAGCAAGGTTCTAGGAATAATCCAAGGTTAAAGCTACGTGGCAGTTGACATCGAATATCTTAACTCATACCATCTTTTAATCCCAGTGCAATGCCAACAATGCAGCTTGTAAAGACAATTAATTCAGCGAGTTTCATGTTTTCCCCTTAATGTAGTTTCAAAACGGACTGTCGTATCCTAAGTAATTAGCGCCCTATTTATTCACAAATGCAACCGGAACTAAAACATTCTCAATTATATTTCAAAACCCTTGAAATTTGTTTACGATTAAAGTGAAGCTGAAACCAAATGGAAATCAGGAAAAATGCGTGATGATTGAAAATATATACATGAGTCGAGTCTGGTCAGATACCCTGTTTGCTGTGTTAAGTAGGAATATCTGTCAGTGCTGGTTGACTGACCGATTGATTTATAATCAACCCGCTCGGCAATGTGGCAAATAGGTGGAACCCTGTTATATACATTGTTGTATGCTGTGATATTTGTATACTGCTATTTTAGTACAGTATTTCTGTTTTTCTATAAGCGAAATGATTTTACCAGAAAAAAAAAAAACATAAGTGAACGTGTATAATAGTATTACTATTTGCGGAATTGCCTAATTTTTGAGCTAGGAACTTCATTAACGTCCTGATATACAGGTGTTGGTGCACTCCCATTCACTGTTAAAGCGATTTTCGCCGTGTTCACCACATCCACCCCAAATAAAGAGCTTGCACAGTTTTCCATGTAGATAGTAGGCCCAACGAAGAAACTTTTCAGCGCAGGGACCTTTTAGTCCTGGTGCTGCTACGCACCGATCTTGAAGGAATGCAAAACTCTGGCTTAGAACAAGATAAAATCAAATATCTTAAGTCTTACCATCGACTTCACCCAAGACAGTGCCAATAGTGCAGCCTACAAGGAAAATCAATGCAGCAACTTTCATGTTTTCATTCAAAGATGTGTCTAAATAAACTGATCGGTTCAGTTTGGAATGTTTTGAATGCCTTGCTTACATAAATTCAACTGGAACTAAATAACACATCTTTTGCCTGTTTAAATTCACGAAAACATTATTTCTGTTTTTATTGTAAAATGCGCCAGAAGTCGACTAGGTGATACCCCTTAGCTTAGCCAGAGCTGACATATGTCAAACTTTTTTTTGTGAAAAATGTAATAGATATCTCGGATTTTTATCGATTATATCTTCGAGATTTATGTCCACCAAAGTCGGAATGGATTAGGCGAAAATTGATAAACACTCTCAAATGAATACTTTCAATATTTTTGAAACCCAAATCTTTACGTGCTCTCTTAAAATGTTTCTCAAAACGAAACCTAACAATCTTAAGATCTGACCAGAGTGCGGCATAGTAGGAAATCATAAGGAATCCAATCGATTATTGAATCTGTAAAAAGATTGAAAAACTTAATACAGAGTATATCATATTATTTGTATGACTACATAATTTTATTATTTTCCGAATTGAAACTTAGTCAAGATCTTGTATACAGTTGTTTATGCACTCTATCTCAGTTTTAAAGCGATTATCCTTGCGATCACCGCAGCCACCCCACATAAATAGTTTGCATCGTTTTCCAGAGTAGGACCAACGGGGTATACTTGCCCTGCACTCACCAGATTTCTCTGGTTTTTCTAAGCAGCGATCTTGGAGAAATGCAAGGTAAAACTAAAGAAGAAATTACATCGAATAGCTTAGCCCTTACAATCAGTTACGCCCAGGGCAACGCCAGCAATGCAACTAGCAAAAAGAAACAAAGCGGTGAGTTTCATGTTTTTGCCCAAAGAAGTTTCTTCTCAAACTGCTCGGACAGTATTATTTTGACTTCACTTCAACTGGAACTAAATAACACATTATTTGCTTGATTAAGCTCTCGAAAATAAACATAGTTTTAATTTTATTATATAGACTTATATTAAGCAGCTGTCTGCGCATTCTTCCCTCGTATCAAAGCGGTTTTCGACAATGGTCAAGCGACATCCACCCCAAAGGAACTCCTTGCACCTGTTCTGATTTATCTGATAATACCACTGGGTAGTGCCGGCTCTGCAGATATTTCCCAATAAAGGTTTCTTATAACATCGTCCTGAAGGATTGTAGCAGCTTTGATTTAATTGCCATCAAGAGAATATCTTTACACTTACCATCAAAGCTCTGAACATTCCCAGCAATGAAACATGCAAACAGCATGAAAGCAAAAAATTTCATGTTATTCTTTTTTAAGTTTCTTTCGCATCTGTTGGCATTGATGTCTGTTATCTTTATTGGAATATATTCAACTGTGCACAATGAAAGAAATGGCCAATTTCACAAGCTTAACTTAATTTAATTTTATTACGATTTAAACGTAGCTGAAACTAATTGAAAGCCAGGTAAATCGGGTAGTTCTTACAATTTAATGAAAAAATATAGATTTCAATCCAGTCGACTGGTGGCTAGTGCCATCAATTCTCGCTCCTTCATTAAAAAAATGTACATGTAATATTCCTTAAAATGTGGTTCCTTAAATGTTGGTTGGTATTAATTGTTTCCCAATGTTTCCAGTATTTGTGAAATCCAAATCTTTGCGTGCTCTCTTAATGTGTTGTCAAAACGAAACCAAACAATCTTAAGATCTGACAAGAGTGCGGTTCAGTAGGAAATCAATGGGAAGCCACTCAAGCAATGAATCTGTGGAACTACCGTTTAGCTGCTATCGATAATAGTTCCTCGAAAGAGGCATTAACTCGAAGTGCAACTGCAAAATGTGCTGGAAAGGAGCATACCACTTGAAAATGCAAATGCAACGGGAAATGACCGAAAGACTGAAGGACCACCCAAGTGCCCATAGGTTGGTTAAGTTTAGTGGGGTATTCAATAAACTTCTTAGTAAAATGTGGTGCGCTTTCGAGTAGGCACTTGCTGTTTGGAGTAGCCTGCTCCAAGCAGGTTTTTGGGACAAGCCGAAAGCCGAACCTTAAGAAAAGCATCAGAAGTTGCGACAATTAGTCTCATGGAGTATGTAAACAAAGTGCAAGAGGATTTTTCAGAAATGTTATCGACAAAGGATTTGGGCATCGGGTTACACAAAGTGTTTCATTGGTTTTCTCTTTTGTGGAGTTGAGGGCGGAGGCAACTTGGAACATTGCATAATTTATGGATAGCGCCGCACTGTAAACATACCAAGTGACCAAATAACCAACAATAGCATGTAATCGGATCGATCTTCTACGGTCAAATACTTGACACTACGCCAAGTGAGCTGAGAGGAGTCGCTGCTGTGGCGCTGAAGGATGCGCCAAAGGATCTGGTGGGTCGCACATGTTTGCAGTCATAAATCAGTGAATGTTATGGCTGCCTTCGTGCTGTCTACCATGTCATTCGGAAAACAACGCATTTTCACACTTTTCGTCGCCCCGTAATTTGAATACTTTACAAGCGTTCGCTGGAAACCCAAACTGAGCATTATTAATTACACACTTGGATTGGATTTCTCGCGCTGATTAGAGCTGTAAGCGATATGCCCTCCGGGCCTCTACACTGGATGTCAGTCTGTCTTGGTCTGTCTGTCTGTCTGCCTGCCTGTCTCACCTATCAATGGGTGGGCGTATCATTAATAGCGCTTTAATTAGACAGCCAACCAGTTCAATAGTTCAGCAGCGCGACGGGTGTTACTTTTGGCGTTAATTGAAAAAATGAAAATAAAAAATTATGTAAAGCCTGAGATCGGCCAAAAGCGCGTTCATTCAGGCCAAATCAATTAGGCCTCTGGCCAAAAGGCGCACATTAATCAAAGCATTGTTATGCTGTGAGGGGGTGCGTTGGCAAGCGTGCGGGGGGCAGGCGCGAGGCGGTTTGGGTGGCGCACATTTTGATTGGACGCCTGTGCGCTTTTGTTGCTGCCGCCATTTGCCGCAATGTTGCGCCGCCATATTGCTAAATCACAAACGCAAATAAAACATAAAAAGGAGGAGAGCGAAAAAAAAAAACAACGGAAAAAAAAGAACTGTTCAAGAAATATGAAAATCAACAGCCGGCAAAATATGAAAGTCGCCGAAGTTTATGACAAGCGCGGCGGCTAAAATCAAAGTCACTGAAATCATAAAAAAAAAACGCAGTGTTGTTGTTGTTGTCGCCAACCATCCCCACCAGCTCACCTGAGTTTGTTTTTATTAGATTTTGCGACATTTTTGTTGTTTGCCGTTTGCGGCTTATCGCCGCAACGCGATTTTATGGCCACACACGCACACACACACATACACGAAAAGAGTTAGCGATAAGCGCATGTTGCATTAAGTAGCTGCCGCCGCGGGGCGGTGTGGGAGGAGCCTGCTGCAGCGCTAATTTGACCAGTAATTGTCGCCGCTCAGCCCCGGGATCAATCTAATTATTTTGCCAAATAAATACAACCCTTTGTGCACCCTTTCGTGATTCGCCACAGCTACAGCAACGGACAGATACAGCTACAAGCTACAAGATACAAATTACAAGTGACAACAGAACACAGCCTGAAACACAACACACACACACAAACACACACCAACACACACGTACGCACTCGCTTAATCCCCGGCTACACCTTTGCCAGCCAGAACAGTTTTCCAGGTAACGCGCGAGGCAAGGCAAGGAGTAAAAGTGCGTCGCGCCCACCACAAGACGCACACAATGAGAGCGCATTGCAGCGTTCACCAAAAGACGATCACAAACATTAGGGTTAGGCTTTAGGGTACCGTCTCCGGAGCAGCTACCTGGGCCACCCCGTTTAATTACGCTGGTAAAGGGTACACCCCTTTTTGGCCGTTTTCACTTTGAGCCTGGGCCAATGTTTTGGTCGCTGGTCGCGGCCAACTGATGGTCGTTGCCCAACTCTGTCCTTGGTCCTTTTATGACCCGTTGCCCATATAAATGCATACGATATTGGCCGAGCGAGTCGCGGGCGTGACGCGTTTATGGTGTGTTTAGATACTTTTCGCAAGCAATGCGAATCGCAACAATGCCAAAATGCACCCGTCTAACCTTGACTTTTACTGCGGCACATCCCTTTACAACACACAAATTTTACCATCTATATAGCGCATATTTACCTAATTATAAAATGCATTTCAGCGCAAAGTCTCGCGCGCCTCAAGGCCTGAGACAATTTTCCGACTTTTACTTTTCGCAACTTTTTGCCATTCGAAAATCTCACTTTGAGCTGTTTTCATTGGAAGCATTTTCGCATTTATTTGATTGTTGTCTACTTTTTCCTGTTCTCTTATTTTCCCAAATTGCATTTCAGTTCGCCTTGAAGCTAGCTGCAAAATGCCGGAAATTTGGTTAAGGGCTCAAGGAAAATAAGCCTGGCAGCAGCGACAAAATACATTTTAAGTATTCGGCATTTTGTAAGTTATTATGGTGTGATAATTGTGCCACATTATTCTCATTTATATAGATTGTTGTGAAATGAAAAAAAAAATGAAGGGGATATCTCCAACCCCATAAAGTATATAAGTATATTCTTGGTCAGCTGCTTTGCGCCTTCTGTTTGCATCGTCAGAAAACTTTTTACAGGTCCGTTAATGAAATCGAATCGAACCATTATATTATATATATATGTCATAGGCATGTTCGGTAAACATTGTGTGGGGAGAAACTCTTTTCGTTTTTAAGATAGCTCAACCAAACTTGCCATATACGAGCTATACCATGCTTCCGTCTTATATTAACAACATTTTGGGTTATAAACCATATTCTCCAACTGACAAAACTTGGCATATACAAGTACTGTCTTGTCCCCTGCTTATCTTATCAACATCGGACAACTATATCAAATAGCTGCCAAATGCAAGTTATTGTGTGAAAACCTTTTTTGTTTTTCAAGATATTGTATTGTCCTTAACATAACAAATTGTGATTGGAAATTTATAAATATATAGTTTCTTTCCTATTGAAGCAACATTGAACAGCTATTATTCCTAATAACCTACCATTTAAGAAGTGTATCATTTTGTCAAGGAGCGGCTATATAATTCGATATGTTAGTTTGGCCGTTGTCATTTCAAAGAATTCCTTGAAGGCCATTCGAAATGCTCTAAAAACATTTGCCAGCACCCAAAGCCAAAGGCAAGCACACTATGATTGCAATGTTAGTTTATGCACACAGTAATGCCAAGAAAAATAAAACAAAAAATTGATTTTAGTGCGAAAAAAACCAAGAGCTCAAAAAAGTTACGAACACCAAAAGAGCAGCAGACATTTTTTGTACATTAGCATTTTGGGCCGTGAAATTTGGTCACAAAGCGACTTTGCACTAAAAAATCTAATTTTTTTCGACGAAATAAATATAAAAAAAAAAAAAAAAACAAACAAGCAACAACTGGCAGCAAAATGAAATCATAAACGAGGCAGTTGAATAATGAACAAAAATTTGTCAAAAATTGCTAAAAACCAGGCCAACGAACACTAAGGCCATGGGCCAAGGGTCTTCCTCGAAGCACTCGCAGTGTTTATGGCCAAAAAAGAAAAAGAAAAAATAGTGGTAGAAGAAGCAGCAGCAGCAGCAGCAAAGGCAGAGGCAAAAGCCAAGTAAGTTGTCATTTTTGGTTTTATGATGATTTTGTTTTTTGCTGCTCTCGTTGTTATATTTTTTACGCTCTAGATTTTTTGTGCCCGCCGTTGGCAACAACAACAACAGCATCCCGTCATTGGCAGGGGCAGTGGCAGGGGCAGGCAGTAGGCAGCCGGGCTACTAATGTCGAGCAGTTCGCAGTTCTTTTTGGCCCGTTTTTATGGTTTTATGGCATAATGACTTCTTTATTGGTGCAGCATTTAAGACTCTATCCTTGGGCAGGTCCTGGGTCCAGTCTCTTTTTATGATGCTGCCTCGGCCAATTTCCGTTTCCGAGTTTTCGACTCGGCATTTATGCAAATACTCAGCGACAGATGTGTGTGTGTGTGTGTGTGTGTTTGTAAAGTTAATCCTTTATGCATGTGTCGACTGTTCGCATAGCAGGAAGTTGACAGTTGGTGCCATATATCATAACTGTGTGTGTGCGTGTGTGTGAGTGTGCGAGTGTGTGTGCCTGTGCGCTGGGAAATATTCGGCCTGGGCCTTTCATGTGACTCACTGACTGCCCAACTATCCGTCTGTTTGTGTTTTTATCTATTTATTTATTTGTTTTTAGTACACTTATGACATGATGTTAATTACTGCGCGTGCATTCCGATTGGCTATGGGAAACACTTTGAAATGGAAAAGTTCGCCGACTGTTTGCCAAGTGTCAACAGCGGCGTTGCCAGTTGCCAAACGGCCAAGAAAGCTGCCAGTTCCAGACAGAAACAGAACACTAAGTACAACAACAACAACAACAACTAACAACTGTCAACAGACAGACACGCGTGCAACATGGAGTCGGGAATTTTGTTCTTGGCCAGGATATTTGATTTAGCCGGTTGACTTTGCATTTGTCTCGTCTGTTGTTTTTAAGAATTGGGAAAATTGACGAAAAATTGTTGTGTAAATATTTTTTAATTGGCTTTCGTCGGCACAGTAGTGACTTTTACCATTAGTCCACCGGGTAGAAGTCAAAAATAACCAAAAAGTGTGCCACTAAGCTGGCCAAGGTCTATGCCAAATCCTGCTCCTAGTCGGGGACTTGGTCGGTGTTCGGTTGTGGCTTAATGCAATGATAATAACATATGGAAAAGTTGTTGTTTAATTGTTGGATTTGCGGCATTCGTTAATGTGTGGTAAAACCGGCAAAGAAATGAATGTGGGCAACAGAAGTTGGAAAACTAAGTTCAAGAAAGGAACTTGCTTACAAATGTTAACGAATGTTAAAATAATATAAATATGCCCAAATAATAAACGTACCCTATTAACATCAGATATGGAAAATGCATATACGCATTACATTTTTCTCTACAGAAAGCTTGATTAGTTTGTAGTAATTATTTGAATATATTTTGTTCTCTCAGGCGTCGACATGGCTTATTTTGGCTTTAGAAATAAATGGTATTTTTTTTATATTCAAATTCTTTCTGCACATATTTTATTATCTTGCTTTTTCTGCGTACATATTTTTGAATATTTCTTTCTGAGTTTTATAACGCAAATTGTTCAATAAAATTAGTTGCCTGTTGATAAGCCTAACACAATATGCTGCCAATGTGAAATTCTCAGAAAACAAATCTTTTTTTGATAACCACAGTGCATTAAAATTAAATTTATTTTGATGTTTGTTGCTTTTAAATATGGACAATTTTATTGTTTCTTAATTTTTTGTTCCTGTTTTAATAATAAATTTGGCAGCTATTTATTATTTCGCAGCAATCAGAAATATTAACATTTCTGGGTTCTACTATCGATAATAAATTGGAAAATTTTATTTAAATTTCGAGGAAATTTAACAGAAAAGAAATGCAGACCGACAGGGCCGAAGAAGATTCCGAATTTTTTGTCTAAAGGTCTAAATAGGCTAAAATATCTATATATATTTTCTTTTGCAGTCAGATTTTTATTATCTTAAGCTCGTTTCTCGTCTTCGCAGTTCTCTTTAAATGAGGCAATTTGTTATGATAAATTTGTGCATTACAGCAAATCGATTTTATCAATTTTTCACATTAAATAATCATAATCAACCGACAAATCATTATAGCTAAAAAAATTATAGAAAATTGAATAAGTGTGCCTTTTGTCCTCTGCTCGTGCGGAATCCATAAATTGGCACTACTTGACTCTCATTAGGTATTTAAGAGACTTTAAGCACATTTTAAATGAATAGCTTAAAGCATTTCAAATGTGAAACTCATTACAGACAATTTCCAACGGGCAACGGAAGGCGCAATTAACTTAGATAATTAACTTAACAAATGCATATAATAGGTTTTTAAAGTTTGAATGCCATTGAAATGCAAGGGGGAAGAGTATAAGTGAATAAATTGCAATATGTTCAAAGTGAATTGTTGATGTTATCAACTAAACTGGTTCACATTAACTACAAATAACTTTCGCACAAAACGGAAATATAAATTTCAAATGTGTTCCATTGGATTATTCGAGTCCTTTGTGGAAAGTCCAAAGTTGCACAGTGTGTAACGTTTAATCATACGGAAAATCAGCATAAATAATGCGACATAAAATGGGAAATTCAATCGCCCTATCAAAAAATGAGTTTAGCCAACATTTGCTTTGATGCGGCTAATTGAATTTTCCTGCGAAAGTGTAAAACGTAAAACGTGGGAGGCAGTCAAAAAAGTGATTTCTGATTTGTGTGGCAAATTAAAATTTAAATGCAAACGAATCAGGCGCACCCACCCACATATACACACACGCACACACACACACACATGCGAAAAAGGACAATAGATTACAATATCCTGGGGCGAGGCAAAAGCAGCACGAGCAACAGCAGCAGGAGCAGGAGCAGGACATACAGGCCCAGATGGCCGGGGCATGCGCCTGGGTGGGATGCGGGTCGTCTCCGTGCTGATGGCTGCCTGCCAGCAGCAGCAGCAGCAGCAGCAACAGCAGCGGCAGCGGCAGCAGCAGCAGCAGCAACGGCAGCCGACAACGGCGTCCGACCATCAGCCCAACGGTTTCCGCTTGCTTACTGCCAGTGAGCAGCGAGTGGCTCGGGCAGAGCGGAGAACGCGAGGCGATGCCGAGTGGCTGGAGTCGTGGAGTTCCTGAACGATGCCGAACACGCGCGCATACTGCAGACAAACACACAAGAAGCAAAACAAAAGGCCGATACAGATACGGCTGCCGCTGGGAGTTGAAACCAGCCAATCGCAGCGCTTCGTGGGGCAGCAGGTAGGCGTGTACGTATCTGCCATTTCCAAATAAATTCAACCCCGGCAACAAAAGCAACAACAACAACGACGACAAAAAGGCAGCTGCCGTTGGTTCGCTTCAAAACCGGTCGACGACGCCGCAGTTGCATTCAGTTATTAACGAGCGCTACTCACAGCTACAGCAACAGCAGCAGCAGCCACAGCAACAGCAGAAGCAGCAGCAACAGCAGCAGCCACAGCAGAAGTCATTTCACTCAACACACACACACACATACACAGACGCGCGCACACGCTATCAGTCGAACAGCGTGGTTGTGTGAGAGAGCGAGAGGGCAAGAGCGCACTTGATATACGCGTTGAGTCCGTTGATTATTTTCACGAGTTTGAGTCGGAGAGCGCAACAGAAAAACAGAATTCAGTTTGAGTTGAGACGTTGTCGTGGGCACGTCGCAGCAAAGAGAAGAGCGCACAGCAGCAAAACACAAAACAGCTACAGCAACAAAAAAAAAAAAGACGTAAAGCCAGAGACCAAAGCAAAAAGACAACAAGTTAAACAGTTGGTGCAAAGTGACAGTGCAACAACAAATCAAGTGCTAACAACACAAACAAACAGAGAACAACAACAACAACCACAACAAAAACAACAAAGTAGAAAAAATAAGGGAATATGTCTTCCACTTCCGCCTCGCCCATCAGCAACATAACCGTGGACGACGAGCTTAACATAAGCAGAGAACAAGGTAAGCAGCAAAAGGCAAAAGCCGACGGCAAAAGATTTGATAGGATACAGTTACAAAATCAACTTGTTGTTGTTGCTCAAAGCACGGCTCTAGTCAACTCAAGCGCAGCTTATCTCACCAACACAACTACAGTTGATCTATATTTGGAGTACAATTGAACTAAACGAAAAGTTTGCTTTTCGCATAAATTATAGATTTTGTCGAGGAGGATTTCATTGTCATCAAGGAGGAGCGCGAGAGCAGCTTGTCACCCATGCTGACACCACCTCACACGCCCACCGAGGAGCCGCTGCGACGGGCTGGCAGTTCAGTCTCAGCCGCAGATGAGTCGGTGGCCACGCAGCTGCACATGCGACACATGGCGCACTACCAGCAGCAACAACAGCAACAGCAGCAGCAGCAGCAGCAGCAGCAACATCAGCAGCAGCAGCAGCAACATCATCGTCTTTGGCTGCAGATGCAACAGCAGCATCCACATGGCCATTATCCGGTCTATGCCGGAGCCAATGCCGATCCCGTGGCCGTGCATCAGCAGGCGCTGCTCATGAACCAATGGATACGCAATGCTGCCATCTACCAGCAGCAACAACAACAGCAGCAACAGCAGGCAGCAGCTGCTGCAGCGGCGCATCATCATCACCCGCATTCACACTCGCATCCACACCATCCGCATCATCATGGCCATCCTCATGCACATGGCCATCCCCATGTGCGTCCCTATCCCGCTGGACTGCATACGCTGCACGCCGCCGCTCGCCATTTTGGAGTTATGCCCAGTTTGAAGCTGAGCGGCGCCGGAGCAGCTGGCACCACCGGAACAACTGGCAGCAGTCGCCCCAAGAAGCAGTTCATATGCAAGTATTGCAATCGACAGTTCACCAAGTCCTACAATCTGCTCATCCATGAGCGCACCCACACGGACGAGCGTCCCTACTCCTGTGACATATGCGGCAAGGCCTTCAGGCGCCAGGATCATCTCAGGGATCATCGCTATATCCACTCCAAGGAGAAGCCATTCAAGTGCAATGACTGCGGCAAGGGATTCTGCCAATCGCGCACGCTGGCCGTGCACAAGGTCACCCACCTGGAGGAGGGTCCCCACAAGTGCCCCATCTGCCAGCGGAGCTTCAATCAGCGCGCGAATCTCAAGAGCCATCTGCAAAGCCACAGCGAGTCGGCGACTGCGGCACAGGCAGCAGCAGCAGCAGCAGCAGCAGCGGCAGCCGCACCACCAACCCAGGCATTGAGCGCTGCAGCTCAACCTGCGCAGTTGGTTAGTCCCGGCTCCAATCAGAGCACGCCCGCCTTGGATCTGTCCTCGTCGGGTGGGGCCACAGTGCAGCGACCGAAGCGCACGCTGGGCTTCACCATTGATGAGATCATGAGCAGATAGATTGGGCAGCTGGTCGCAATTTATTGGTTTTACGTTCAGGATGCACGCACATCCAGAATTCTGAGCGCCGCCAGGCATGGGAAGTGCCTGGCCTGGAGTCGCAGTCAGCTCAGCAGCGCCGCCCAGTTCGAGAGTACGTGTTCGAGTTCGAGTTGCAGGGAACGCCCCCCTGCCCAGCCACCGCTCGCCGTCGTCGCCGCCCCAGTGAACCACAGACAGTTCCGAACCAGTCACAACTAGCCCAATCGGCTCTATATATACTTACAAACCCGATCTTATATAGCTGTCGCATTGGCGCTAAACACACTGCAAGATGCCAAAGCAAAACAAAATGAAATAAACAAATGAGAACTTAGTAAAAAGTATTCCTCCCACAGAACGATTCCAAAATACGGCATTAAAGAGTACTTTTGCCTCACTATATTTTAAGCATAAGTAGTATGAGTATTTCAACCATTTAGTAATGAGTAGTATCAAGTTCTTAGTTATATAATCGTATGTACCTTATAGCATGTAGTAGCCGCATTCAGTTTGTAATACACACAATACCAATTCCCGGAGACAACCTCAGACCTCTATTGGTTATTCAAAGACTGTACAATTATTTGTTTGTTTTTTTACTGAATATATTTTATAAATACACAAGTACTTAAATCAATCCAATGTGTTAATTTTAGTTAAGTGTTATGCTTGTTTCTAATAACAAATCTTGAGTTCTATACATTTGTAGGCCGACCCGCACACAAAGACACAACGATCTCATTATCTTAGGTCTAGATACATATACATATATGCATGTGCTGTATCATAAAAAAAGCTATTGTAAAATATATGAATTACGAGTAATTGTAAAAACTGAATTTTATTAGCTTGTCTTAACTTTATCATGACAAGTTTATGTGAAATATAAAAATATCTAGTAAACGCGGGGTTTTTGTGACTACTTTTTCTCGAGTTCATAAAATTTCAATTCTCTTGGCAGGAGTACGTTCCTTTATTGAATATGTCATCTATATAAATTGAAAATACAAGATAACCCTAATCATGCAAAGAAAAAAACAACAGTAATATCCCACCAACTATTTCAAAATGATGAGTTTTTTGGAGTAATAAAAACTTGGATAACTAAATCTGATAGTTTACTTCGGCTGACAGAAATTGGAACCCAAACAGTGACTCCACATTAATGTTCCAATTGATTTAAATATGTTTTTTTTCCTTCTTTCTTAATTTTAAACAAAATTGCTTTTTAATAAAATGAATATATTTTATAAACTTCTTGAAGTAATTCTACTTTTAAGGCGTAGGAACAAAAACTTATCGTTTTTGTGATGTTAAAATCAAAAATAAATAATAAAACCGAGGATGACTTGTGAAATCTGGCACTTTTATAGGATAGTATACAATTTTTAAGATGTTAATTAAAGTGAATAATGATTATTGAAAGTATTTTCACGTAAATCTTTGAACAGCTCTTGAAGTCGGGTTTTTGCGTTTTTTGCAAGATAAAATAAAATCAACTATAATATTACAACTTTGCTTAATTTAAAATCATTTTTTTTTCTCTTTTTAAACTAATTGAAAATGAGTAAAATGGCTGTTATATATTTTCTTATACATTTTGTTATACTAATAATTTCTAAATATAGCCAGCATTTTATTTACAATTCCTGGTAAGCATATTATCGCAACTTTCTATATATAGTTGTGTTATCGTACAATAAAATTCCCCAAGCCAAAACGTATTTCTACACAGTCAAAAAATGTTACATTATTAGTATTATTATTATTATTATTTCTTAGTTTTTGTATCTGGTCTCACCCACCTGAAATAAGCTGGCATTTTTGACGTTGTCAAAAATGCTGTCAAGTTGAGTTTTTAGGCAAATGCATAACTCAAATCGTTTCATATTTTAAGCATCTATTAATTAACAAGCTTCCAATTAAGCCACAGACTAGCTCCATAAGGCAACTGGTTTAGTTTAAAAGTGTCACAGATCTTAATTTATGATAGCTCTTGAATTTGATGTTCGCATTTTGTTGATCTTTATTCGGGTATATTTGTTTATATATTTCGGGGTGTGGTCGCTCGCTCGTTGTTCCCAGTTCTATAGAAGTCTATTGAAATTGGCACAGTGGTTAGGAACGTGCCAAATGCCAAGATCTCGACAATTGCCCATTGTGCTGGCGAGCGTGGGTTGCATTTCTGGATCTGGAACTGTTCGCATCGCATTGCCATTAGCACGCGCAGTACCAGGAACTGTTCTGTAGCTAAGCTATAGATAGTTATCTGGCATTGGTCTTTAATTGAGATTAAGGTTCGATCTTTCTTCGAGGGGTTGCTAATGGCACCCGTTGCGTGTGTTGCCCCGCATGCCACAAGATTCAGACATGGGTTTCCATGACAATGTTCCCTCTGCTCGATTGGTCCAGCTGCTGCTGGGCTCATTTGCTGCCTCAATTTTCATTACTGTTTTTCCTTTTGATGACACTGCCATTATGGCCATGTACAATTGATTTTGGGCCAACTAACCGACTCTCTACCTTGCCAATTGTCAGATGTGGCATGCAAAATGGAATGGTATAGACTGCAGAAGGCACTATTGATGTCTACATTGCGTCTCTCAGCTGTGGCGTCCTAGGTGGCAACGGGCAGCGGACAGCGGGCAACCGGACAAGTATATGGGATGTGCCCTCCTGCCACGCCTAGCAGACTCTGAGATATTTCAATATATTGGCCCTGTGGACAGCCTGCGGCTCTGTTGGCCAGTGGGTTGGCCAGCAAACGCAGCGAGGCGCTGTTGATTTTTATTTATTTTTTGGGTCTAGTGTCTAGTCTTATCTTCTGGTCAACCGTAGAACTTGTTGCTATGCTGTAGGCTCTATGGTTCTGGCTGTGTTTTGGCAATAGCGCGCCGCAGGATACGTGGTGGCCAGGATACGAGCCTGTGGCCCGGTTCATGTCGCAGCATTCGACACACATTGTCCACAAACAGGCCCATAATTGCACGAATCCGCACTGCGTACAACCAAAATATTTTGTGAAAGTCACAGCGGGCGGCCAGGCCAGAGAGAGGACAACCGCTACGGCCAGACAAGGATAGCAAGCCTGTTATCCTGTGAGCCCAGATTGATGGATATATTGTCGCCTTCACTCAGTCAGCCAACGGGGTTTTGTGTGCGTATTTGTGCATTTGTGCATGTTTGTGTCTCTGTGTCATTTTTAGGCCACAATTAAACGTATCGGTTCCGCAACTAGGGTGGCATCTTCGTATGGCCCTGCCCCTGCCCCTGCCCCTGACAAGGGCTGATTAAGCAGCAGGCAGTGGACAGCGTCTGCCAAAAGTGAGCCATTTGCTGCCCAGCAGCCAGCAGCTAGCAGCACCCCTCCGGGCAGCTAGTGCTACCCCTGCCCAACGGGGGTTGCTGTTTAATGACATGACCATAGACTGGACTGGCCCAGCTACATACAAGGCTGGCACAATTGGCCGGAGATTGGCCGGGCACGTTCGCACTCCAAGTGGCCTTGTGACCACCCAGAATAGCACGGAGCACGCATACGGGCCGTGGCCGTGGACAAATGAAGTTGCCTCTTGGCTCAATTTGAGCGGCAATTAAAACGTTGCAAATCGATTTGCCGCCATTCAATAATGCCACAGCCAGCGGCCACATTAGAAATGGACGCCATTTTTCTCGCCGTTGACAGCCACCGCACAAAGGCGGCGGCAAGCGGCCATCGTCGAGTGGTGCTTCGCGTCAAGTTGTTGCCCATGATCACAATCACGATGGGCCCAGCGATAGATGATTGCAGATGATGATGACAGCATCATAGACAGCCACGCTGGTTCAAGCTGTTGCTCAAGTGGGCCAAGCCCAAAACTTGTCTCCGGTAATTGTACATTGTCTACGCTGTCAGCTCGTACCATTTGATATGCCGACGCACGCCTTTTGCAATGACAAACGCCGCCGATGCCACTTGGCTTCATAATAAAAAAATAAAACACAAGGGTATAAAATTAATTTAAAAAAAAAATCCGTGACTCCATCACATAATGTGATTTAATTCAATATTAATAACTCCACAGCTGGTTTTGTGAGCTTGGAACTTGCCACCTTCTTAGATACTTAGCGGATTTTTAAGCAGGTCTGCAATCAAATATATGCATGGGTTTTTTTTTGAGTTGCGATTTTAATTTTGCTCATTTTTTAGCTCGTGCTTTGCTGTAATTGTTGGTTTGTTATATATTTTTTAAATTGGAATACATTTAAATTGAAATTTACAATTGCATTTAGTAGTAAAAATATTGTAAGCCGTTTGTGCACAACTTAAGGGGCTTATTTGATTTACACCCAACGAAGGTACTTTGTCGTCCTGGGTTCCCCTGGTCTCTCTGAAACTATTTTTTGTTGGTTGGTTCTTTGTAAGGATAATTGAACTTATGGGCTCGAACCAGTTGGATTTCACACCTTCTTGCAGACTTTCTTTAGTTAGTCAATTCTTAGAAAAAGTGTATTTTTATTTGTAGTTTTATTTGAGTAGAATATAATCATCAAAGTTTCACTTACGTGTTTATAAAAATAAAATAAAGTAAATGCAGCAATATTGTTATTAAAGATTTAAGCCAACTCTTTGAGATACTTTGAGATACCTTAGTTAATCGTACCTATTTTGCTATGTAGGGTATCTTTATAAGGGTTTTCAATTATCTGTTATAAAATGATTTCTGTATTTGTTGTTTTTGAACTCGTCTGAGGGCCAATATTTGTGCAATCGTCAAATTGTTCGTGTAGTGTAAGATTTCTCAATGTTGTTGGCCCCACCTCTGTTGATGCACTTAACACTTTTCCGCACAGTAGTTGCACATGTCACAACTTGACATTGTTGTCGTTCCCTAATTGCATTACAAGCGTTGTTACTTAGCAGACAAGCCCCACAGCACGCACACACGTGCACACGAGAGAGGAGATACGTACTTTGAGATACTTGAAGTATCTGTAACTCACTTGACTACGAAGCATGTCACAGTTACTGTTACTGTTTAGGTTTCCAACTCTGTAAACGACTCGCTGGGTGTTCTCCTGACTGTGATTTTATTGCCTCGGTCTTGGCCTGGGTCCCTATCCCGATCGCCCGGTCAGCTGCGCTATCTATCTGCTTATTTGACACTTTTGTTTTGCCTAAAAAGGTGTCTTAACTATACTATCACTTACTTAGAGAGGAAGGGGGGGGAGAGAGACTTTACCCCGAATAATACGAATTGCTCTAACAATTTAATCGGTATGCGTGCTGGCTTATCGGCAGGGCTCAATCGGGACGCTGGGCATTAATTGACACCTTAGCATGGAGCTAGGCCTGAAACCGAACCCTGTGACAGGGGACTGTCAATTAGTTGCTGAATTTATCGCCAGGCACAAATCAGTTTTGGAAAATTTGTAACCCGAAAACGCCGCAGCTAAAAGAGCGATCAATTTTATTGTAAACTAACTAGGGAGGTCTGCTCAGCCCGCTTCCCCCGCTCCACCTCTAATACAGTGTGGTCGTATCGTGTGTGTAAGCCAAGCACTTATTGAGAACTTAATTGAATTACCCAGCGAGAACGAGGGACCCGCACCTTGTCCCCAAGGCGTTCTATTCCGCTGTCCAACTGCCTGTCTCTCTGTCCGTCTGTCT